TGCAGCGGCCAGGGCTAACGTTAGTCCGTCTGCAGCGGCCAGGTCTAACTTTAGTCCGTCTGCAGCGGCCAGGTCTAATGTTAGTCCGTCTGCAGCAGCCAGGGCTAACGTTAGTCCATCTGCAGCAGCCAGGGCTAACGTTAGTCCGTCTGCAGCGGCCAGGTCTAACTTTAGTCCGTCTGCAGCGGCCAGGTCTAACGTTAGTCCGTCTGCAGCAGCCAGGGCTAACGTTAGTCCATCTTCAGCAGCCAGGGCTAACGTTAGTCCGTCTGCAGCGGCCAGGGCTAACGTTAGTCCGTCTGCAGCGGCCAGGTCTAACTTTAGTCCGTCTGCAGCGGCCAGGGCTAACGTTAGTCCGTCTGCAGCGGCCAGGACTAACTTAAGTCCGTCTGCAGCGGCCAGGTCTAACTTTAGTCCGTCTGCAGCGGCCAGGGCTAACGTTAGTCCGTCTGCAGCGGCCAGGTCTAACTTTAGTCCGTCTGCAGCGGCCAGGTCTAATGTTAGTCCGTCTGCAGCAGCCAGGGCTAACGTTAGTCCATCTGCAGCAGCCAGGGCTAACGTTAGTCCGTCTGCAGAGGCCAGGGCTAACGTTAGTCCGTCTGCAGCGGCCAGGTCTAACTTTAGTCCGTCTGCAGCGGCCAGGTCTAACGTTAGTCCGTCTGCAGCGGCCAGGACTAACGTTAGCCTGTATGCAGCGGCCAGGGCTAACGTTAGTCCGTCTTCAGCAGCCAGGGCTAACGTTAGTCCGTCTGCAGCAGCCAGGACTAACGTTAGCCTGTATGCAGCGGCCAGGGCTAACGTTAGTCCGTCTTCAGCGGCCAGGGCTAACGTTAGTCCGTCTGCAGCGGCCAGGTCTAACTTTAGTCCGTCTGCAGCAGCCAGGTCTAACGTTAGTCCGTCTGCAGCAGCCAGGGCTAACGTTAGTCCGTCTGCAGAGGCCAGGGCTAACGTTAGTCCGTCTGCAGCGGCCAGGGTTAACGTTAGTCCGTCTGCAGCAGCCAGGGCTAACGTTAGTCCGTCTGCAGCGGCCAGGGTTAACGTTAGTCCGTCTGCAGCGGCCAGGTCTAACTTTAGTCCGTCTGCAGCAGCCAGGTCTAACTTTAGTCCGTCTGCAGCGGCCAGGTCTAACTTTAGTCTTTCTGCAGCAGCCAGGTCTAACGTTAGTCCGTCTGCAGCGGCCAGGTCTAACTTTAGTCCGTCTGCAGCGGCCAGGTCTAACGTTAGTCCGTCTGCAGCAGCCAGGGCTAACGTTAGTCCGTCTGCAGCAGCCAGGGCTAATGTTAGTCCGTCTGCAGTGGCCAGGGCTAACGTTAGTCCGTCTGCAGCTGCCAGGGTTAACGTTAGTCCGTCTGCAGCAGCCAGGGCTAACGTTAGTCCGTCTGCAAAGGCCAGGTCTAACGTTAGTCCGTCTGCAGCGGCCAGGGCTAACGTTAGTCCGTCTGCAGCGGCCAGGGCTAACGTTAGTCCGTCTTCAGCAGCCAGGGCTAACGTTAGTCCGTCTGCAGCGGCCAGGTCTAACTTTAGTCCGTCTGCAGCGGCCAGGTCTAACGTTAGTCCGTCTGCAGCAGCCAGGACTAACGTTAGCCTGTATGCAGCGGCCAGGGCTAACGTTAGTCCGTCTTCAGCAGCCAGGGCTAACGTTAGTCCGTCTGCAGCAGCCAGGGCTAATGTTAGTCCGTCTGCAGTGGCCAGGGCTAACGTTAGTCCGTCTGCAGCTGCCAGGGTTAACGTTAGTCCGTCTGCAGCAGCCAGGGCTAACGTTAGTCCGTCTGCAAAGGCCAGGTCTAACGTTAGTCCGTCTGCAGCGGCCAGGGTTAACGTTAGTCCGTCTGCAGCGGCCAGGGCTAACGTTAGTCCGTCTGCAGCGGCCAGGGTTAACGTTAGTCCGTCTGCAGCGGCCAGGTCTAACTTTAGTCCGTCTGCAGCAGCCAGGTCTAACTTTAGTCCGTCTGCAGCGGCCAGGTCTAACTTTAGTCTGTCTGCAGCGGCCAGGGCTAACGTTAGTCCGTCTGCAGCGGCCAGGTCTAACTTTAGTCCGTCTGCAGCGGCCAGGTCTAACGTTAGTCCGTCTGCAGCAGCCAGGACTAACGTTAGCCTGTATGCAGCGGCCAGGGCTAACGTTAGTCCGTCTTCAGCAGCCATGGCTAACGTTAGTCCGTCTGCAGCAGCCAGGGCTAATGTTAGTCCGTCTGCAGCGGCCAGGGCTAACGTTAGTCCGTCTGCAGCGGCCAGGGTTAACGTTAGTCCGTCTGCAGCAGCCAGGGCTAACGTTAGTCCGTCTGCAGCGACCAGGTCTAACGTTAGTCCGTCTGCAGCGGCCAGGGTTAACGTTAGTCCGTCTGCAGCGGCCAGGTCTAACGTTAGTCCGTCTGCAGCGGCCAGGGCTAACGTTAGTCCGTCTGCAGCGGCCAGGGCTAACGTTAGTCCGTCTGCAGCGGCCAGGTCTAACTTTAGTCCGTCTGCAGCAGCCAGGTCTAACTTTAGTCCGTCTGCAGCGGCCAGGTCTAACTTTAGTCTGTCTGCAGCGGCCAGGGCTAACGTTAGTCCGTCTGCAGCGGCCAGGTCTAACTTTAGTCCGTCTGCAGCGGCCAGGTCTAACGTTAGTCCGTCTGCAGCAGCCAGGACTAACGTTAGCCTGTATGCAGCGGCCAGGGCTAACGTTAGTCCGTCTTCAGCAGCCAGGGCTAACGTTAGTCCGTCTGCAGCGGCCAGGTCTAACTTTAGTCCGTCTGCAGCGGCCAGGTCTAACGTTAGTCCGTCTGCAGCAGCCAGGACTAACGTTAGCCTGTATGCAGCGGCCAGGGCTAACGTTAGTCCGTCTTCAGCAGCCAGGGCTAACGTTAGTCCGTCTGCAGCGGCCCGGTCTAACTTTAGTCCGTCTGCAGCGGCCAGGTCTAACGTTAGTCCGTCTTCAGCAGCCAGGGCTAACGTTAGTCCGTCTGCAGCGGCCAGGTCTAACTTTAGTCCGTCTGCAGTGGCCAGGGCTAACGTTAGTCCGTCTGCAGCGGCCAGGTCTAACTTTAGTCCGTCTGCAGCGGCCAGGGCTAACGTTAGTCCGTCTGCAGCGGCCAGGTCTAACTTTAGTCCGTCTGCAGTGGCCAGGACTAATGTTAGTCCGTCTGCAGCGGCCAGGGCTAATGTTAGTCCGTCTGCAGCGGCCAGGGCTAACGTTAGTCCGTCTGCAGCAGCCAGGGCTAACGTTAGTCCGTCTGCAGTGGCCAGGACTAATGTTAGTCCGTCTGCAGCGGCCAGGACTAATGTTAGTCCGTCTGCAGCGGCCAGGGCTAATGTTAGTCCGTCTGCAGCGGCCAGGGCTAATGTTAGTCCGTCTGCAGCGGCCAGGGCTAATGTTAGTCCGTCTGCAGCGGCCAGGGCTAACGTTAGTCCGTCTGCAGTGCCAGGGCTAACGTTAGCCCCTCTGCACCTCTCTAAGGGGGCCATTTGACGAAATGTTAATTTCATTTGTGTTTATCTGACTGTGCTCATTATTATTCCTCCACTGAATTAAAAAACTCATAATTTATTATTATCTAGAGCCTATTAATAACAGGAGATGAAATGCAGCTCCAGACTAGCTTTAAATGTGGTGATGTCCTCAGTACGCTTCTGTTCCAATTGATCCAGATTTATTCTGCGTGCTCCCGTTCTCCCAGAGTCCAGACTTTCCTGGGTTCTAGTCAGGAACAGACTTGGCGAGACCATATTCGCGTGGTTGTAAATTGAACTAAACCAAAACCAGACTTTGTTGGGCTATTCTATAAAACCTGGAACTAAACGCTATTTCTGACATTTTGAATTGAAAAAGCTTCCTGGATGGAAGAGAAACGACTTCAAACTTGGAAACAAAGTCCAGTGGATTGTTGTTGTTTTTTTTTTACTTTTTGAGAATTTTAACGTAGAAAGTATGCATGGATCAGAGCATCTATGCTTCTTTTTCTATGTCTGCTTCTGTCTCCTTGAACCCCAGTGGGCCTCAGCAGATGGCCGCTCACACTGAGCCTGGTTCTGCTGGAGGTTTCTTCCTGTTCAAAGGGAGTTTTTCCTCTCCACTGTCGCTACAAGCATGCTTAGTGTGAGGGATTGCTGAAGAGTCCTTTACTTCAGAATGAAACACAGTGAGATCAGACCGTTAGCATAGCTGCTGTAGGATAAATAATAATAAATAATAACCCCAGCCTATTTAGTCAGACCTTGATTAAGTCTAGATGATTTTAAAGTTGCTGAAGTAAACTCCCTTCCCCTCTATGAGACGCTCGATGGGCATCCAGTGATAACCTTTTTAATCTGAGGTTTAAAGCCTTTATTTTCAGTTCAGTTTATTTCTAAAGCTCTAATTCACATCATCTCAGGTCACTTTACAGAAACACTTCAACCAGATCGTGCAGATTGGTTCAAAGCTATCTTAATATATTCTGCACTAAAACTTTATCTCCTTTTAATGAGTTAGATTGAAGACTCATTAAATGTTTCTGACATTCTTCCCCATTAAAACAATAAAATCATCTTTTTATTTCGATACTTTAGACTTTATCTGCCTGAACCGCAGCGTCTTTTGATAACTCGCTGTTTGATTGAGAGATACTGTAGAGGATTAACAGGAGCAAACCTGCATTTTTTTATTCATATTAAAAAATTTTTTTTTTTAAAACGCCCTGTTTGCATCACAAACGATATTAAAGGTTGTTGAATGCGATCAAAGTCCAGATCCAGGTCAACGAGGTTTTGATCTAATTAACATGTCCTGCATAATTACATGCTTCTTCACCACATTACTGCCAGGATCAATCTGCAGCATCTGAGGGAGGGTTTAATGATTCACATGGACCAGAGGAGGAAACCTGCAGTTCAAGCTCTGCAATAAAACATCTGTGCAGAGAAAAAAAGAGATGAAACAACAGCTGCTTTGGTGTAATGAGTGCAGAGGAAGCCATTGCTTCACCTTCAGCTCAGGATCTCCACAGTGTAACAGTCAGATGCTGCTTCCTTTGTTTATCTTCCAGGCCTGACTCCAGACAGACTCGGTCCTCCGTCCCACGATGCCAGCCCAGTGAGCCCTGAAGCTAAAACACCAGGAGCTCACTCTCCATCCCACCTCCACTACCACAGCCAGGCTCAGCACAGACGCTTTTCCATGGAAGTAAGAATCCGGCAAAACTCCGAGATGCTTCATTCATCCTGACCTGGAATTAAACCAGCGGAACAAACTGCAGCTGCAAGCTGGGAAATAGATAGAATTCTGGAAAAAAAATAAATAAATCAATAATTTCAACTAAATATTACGGAAGAGGATTAGAGCCACTGAAAAAAAAATTATTTTTTTTTTATTTCAGTATAGTATGGGAAAAAAGTCAGAATTCTGAGTTTAAAGTCAGAATTCTGACTTTAATCTCAGAATTCCAAGATTAAAGTCAGAATTCTGAGTTTTTTCCCAGGTTAAACTGAAATAAAATGTAAAAATCAGTTAACTTTTTTTTTTTCAGTGGCCCTAATCCTCTTCCGTAAAATATGAATCTAGAAAATTGAATCAATTTGTTTGGTCAAAGATCATTAACCCTTTATAGGGCGCCCAGTGAAATACTTTGGAAATTAACATTTCAAGCCAATAGTGTTTCTGGAATCCAAAACAAGACCTTATTACCTTTGGAACATATAAAAAAAATATGGATATTTTGATGGTAAAGATGGACGTCAATGTAAGAAGAAAAGGCAAGTTGCTCGAATATATTAAGAAAAATAACAAAAATGCTTCTAGAAGAAATTCATGAAAAGAAACTAATTTTTTTGGTCCAATATAACCGGAGAGGCATCAATGCTGGCGCGTACATTTTTTAGTTATATAATTAACTAGGCTTATTATCTTTTTAACTTAACTTTTTACCTTTTCTTTTTCTTCTCGATTTGTTAATTTTTTACAGCAGGTAATATATCATTGAAGGGCTCCTCTAATTAGTCACATGCCAAAATTAGATGTCCATTCATGTAGCAGGATCTTTGCTGAATGGCTGAATATAGATCTTGTTTTTCTAGACCTCACTGAGGGATGGGATGGGGGGTTCAAATGTAAGGGGTATGTAAGGGATCAGATATGTTACCATACGTATCTGATCCAGTAACAAATATGGCTTAGATTGTTTCCGGGCTCCATTCTTTTGGGCAAATTTCAGGCTATAAACTCAACTTCTCCAAAAGTGAATGCTTTCCAGTAAATACGACAGCCATGGCAATCCCAGACCAATCTTTACCATTTAAGATGTCAAAAAATGGTTTTAACTCTTCCTAGGCATCAGCTAATCTGCAGCACAGAGACTATATGGGATATTTATGCTGGAGTTGAAAGATGTAATGAGGTTAGAATTAAAGGTCTGACACTAACTGAAGTTCTGCAGCTATTGTTTCACTCTAGTTTTAGGGCAAATAGAACAAAATGTCGTTCAGGGTCTCGTCCATCATTTGAAATCTTTCTTTTGCGCTGAATGCTGAAAGTGTCAATTAAACAGAAGCACCTGGGAAGTGCATGGGTGGTGATTTATTAATAGAAAATAGAGTAGAAAATCTCTTTATTGTCCCTCAATGGGGGAATTCTGGTGTTAACAGCAGCAAAAAGATTGTAGAAAAAATGGTCACACAAACGTGGACCTTAGAAAAATGTCTCAGAATAACATCATAGTGAAGAGTTAAAAGATAAACAATAAAATCCTGTAAAGTACTAAGTAATATAAAACTGGAGGATTAGGGCCACTGAAAAAAAAAGTAAACTGATTTTTAAGTTTTATTTCAGTTTAACATGGGAAAAAAGTCAGAATTCTGACTTTTTTCCCATGTTAAAACTGAAATAAAACTTAAAAATCAGTTTACTTTTTTTTCAGTGGCCCTAATCCTCTTCCGTACCTTTGTGTTTAAAACACTATTTCAAATAAATAATCCTCTTATTACTCCAGTATTTAGCAAACCAAGTTTTTTCTCATCCTACCTGACAATAAAAAACAAAGAACAGTTTTTAATCTGATTTAATCTCAGCCAGAATAAAGTCAAAGTATTTATGCAATAAGGTAATTTGTTGGACTACAAATGTATGACCTGAGTATAAATAGAAGTCTGTAAAGTTTTATGAAGGTCAGGAAAAGTCTTAAAGCAGTTCTAAAGTAGAAAGAGGTTAAATCTAAACTTTTAATTTGTAATTTAATTGATATTATGTGATTAAGAAATAAATTTTATCCACATCCTTTATTGATACAGTTCAGGAGAAACTAGATTGTCAATATCTGGTTCCAGGTTTTAATCCCTGAGAATCAGGAACTTTGTTGACCAAAGTAAGGAAATTACAACATTTTATTTTATATAAATAAATCATTCCAGATTATCTGTAGAGCTAGACTGCTTTAATTTTCAATTTTTTAGTTTCACTGTCTCCTCCCATCAGTGCCAATGTTGATTTGATCCATAATTAGCAACATATTACGGTGAAAAACATCAGAAAATGATCTCTTTATTTGTTGCGTCTTTCAGGATGTGAGCAAACAGATGGCTCTGCCCATGGACATCCGTCTACCTGCAGAATTTCTCCAGAAACTGCAACTGGAAAGTGAAAATTCTCCACTCTGCAAACCTCTGAGCCGCATGTCCCGACGGGCTTCCCTGGTAAGTAACCACTGGTTTATCTCTACTGGGGGTTTATCTTTACAGGTTGGTTTATCTCTACTGGGGGGTTATCTCTACTGGGGGGTTTATCTCTACTGGGGGGTTATCTCTACAGGGGGGGTTATCTCTACTGGGGGGTTTATCTCTACAGGTTGGTTTATCTCTACAGGGGGGTTATCTCTACTGGGGGTTTATCTCTGCAGGGGGGTTTATCTCTACAGGTTGGTTTATCTCTACTGGGGGGTTATCTCTACTGGGGGTTTATCTTTACAGGTTGGTTTATCTCTACTGGGGGGTTATCTCTACAGGTTGGTTTATCTCTACTGGGGGGTTTATCTCTACAGGGGGGTTATCTCTACAGGGGGGTTTATCTCTACAGGTTGGTTTATCTCTACTGGGGGGTTATCTCTACTGGGGGGTTTATCTCTACAGGGGGGTTTATCTCTACTGGGGGGTTATCTCTACAGGGGGGTTTATCTCTACAGGTTGGTTTATCTCTACTGGGGGGTTTATCTCTACTGGGGGGTTATCTCTACTGAGGGGTTTATCTCTACAGGTTGGTTTATCTCTACTGGGGGTTATCTCTACAGGTTGGTTTATCTCTACAGGGGGGTTTATCTCTGCAGGGGGGGTTTATCTCTACAGGTTGGTTTATCTCTACTGGGGGGTTATCTCTACTGGGGGGTTTATCTCTACAGGGGGGTTTATCTCTACTGGGGGGTTATCTCTACTGGGGGGTTATCTCTACTGGGGGGTTTATCTCTACAGGGGGGTTTATCTCTACTGGGGGGTTATCTCTACTGGGGGGTTATCTCTACTGGGGGGTTTATCTCTACAGGGGGGTTTATCTCTACTGGGGGGTTATCTCTACTGGGGGTTTATCTCTGCAGGGGGGTTTATCTCTACAGGTTGGTTTATCTCTACTGGGGGGTTATCTCTACTGGGGGGTTTATCTCTACAGGTTGGTTTATCTCTACTGGGGGGTTTATCTCTGCAGGGGGGTTTATCTCTACAGGTTGGTTTATCTCTACTGGGGGGTTTATCTCTACAGGGGGGTTTATCTCTACAGGTTGGTTTATCTCTACTGGGGGGTTATCTCTACTGGGGGGTTTATCTCTACAGAGGGGTTTATCTCTACAGGGGGGTTATCTCTACTGGGGGTTTATCTCTACAGGTTGGTTTATCTCTACTGGGGGTTTATCTCTACAGGTTGGTTTATCTCTACTGGGGGGTTTATCTCTACAGGGGGGTTTATCTCTACAGGTTGGTTTATCTCTACTGGGGGGCTATCTCTACTGGGGGGTTTATCTCTACAGGGGGGTTTATCTCTGCAGGGGGGGTTATCTCTACTAGGGGGTTTATCTCTACAGGGGGGTTTATCTCTACAGGGGGGTTTATCTCTGCAGGGGGGTTTATCTCTACTGGGTGGTCTATCTCTACAGGGGGGTTTATCTCTACAGGTTGGTTTATCTCTACTGGGGGGTTATCTCTACTGGGGGGTTTATCTCTACAGGGGGGTTTATCTCTGCAGGGTGGTTTATATCTACAGGGGGGTTTATCTCTACTGGGTGGTCTATCTCTACAGGGGGGTTTATCTCTACAGGTTGGTTTATCTCTAAAGTGGGGTTTATTTGAACAGGGGGGTTTATATCTACAGGGGGGTTTATCTCTGCAGGGTGGTTTATCTCTACAGGGGGGTTTATATCTACAGGGGGGTTTATCTCTGCAGGGTGGTTTATCTCTACAGGGGGGTTTATTTGAACAGGGGGGTTTATCTCTACAGGATGGTAACAGTCAGTAACCTTTTCTAAACCATTTATTTACAGATTAAAGTTGAATCTCATCAGAAAGCATCGATGGAATAAACAGTCTTCTTTTTTCTTTCTTTAGTCTGATATAGGATTTGGGAAACTGGAAACGTATGTGAAGCTTGGAAAACTAGGTGAGGTACGTGACTGTTGGTTAATCTCTAAAGCTCTTCTCCATCTAATGCAACATTTCATGTAAATATTTTATATAAAAATGAGTCCATGATAAATAATAATAGACAGTATTTATGTCCATTATGATGTTTATCCTGCATTATTTAACCATATAACCTATTCAATTTAAGGAAATAAAAACTAATGTCGTTAACTGCTGTTAAACCCATAGAAACAGGAAGTCTATATCAGTCTGTGACTCAGATGAATCATCATGACTGTTTGTTAAACTCCATGAGGAGTTCAGCTCATATGCAGCAGCTCTGAAGGTCAGGAAGTCCCAAAGCTAAAGGAACCATAGATAGGAAGCATCCTTCCTCCAGCACTATTCGGACAACACTTAGCATGATGACTGCTGACACGCTTTGGCTCAGTTATCCTGGTTCTGAAATAAACCAAAACCAAACCACAATGTTCATTTCCTTAAACTTTAATTCATCTGATTCTCTACAACTGAAGTCCAATTTAATCTGAAGTAGAACCGATGGAACTTCATCAATAAACGGTTCTGGAAAGTATTACTTTAAAGCTGTGCTCACTTATCAAACAAAGTCATTGCATCCTATTTTTGTATTTTTTTCCATCTTCTTACAATTTGTTTTGTTTGTTTTATTAACAAAAATAAAAAGTCTTAACATAACTTTTGATGGTCTGATATTTTTTAAAATCATAAGAACGTTTTATACCTACTGTAAAATAAAAACAATACAGATACATGCAGAATAGAATCCAAATATTTGAAATGAATGAAAAGCTCCTGACTCATAAATCCTTCATCAGACTGATTAGAGCAAAGTCACATCAAAGCAACACTTTCCTCATTAGAAAATAACTTTTTGCTTATTTACTAAAGTCACCTTCTGGCTTTAACTGACTTTTAGGTTTATCTCAGTGTGTCTGGAAATGTGGCAATAAAAATAATTGAGCCCAACAGATTTTTCTTTCACCAGTGGAGCAGTACGGCTATCGCTATTGTGATTCTGAGAAAAAGTCAGAATTCTGACTTTTTTCTCTGAATTAGGACTTTAATCTCAGAATTAGGACTTTAATCTCAGAATTCTGACTTTTTTCTCTGAATTCTCAGAAAAAAGTCATAATTCTGAGAAAAAAGTCAGAATTCTGAGATTAAAATCAGAATTCTGACTTTTTTCCCATACTATACTGAAATAAAATTTAAAAAATCAGTTAACTTTTTTTTTTAGTGGCCCTAATCCTCTTCCGTAGATTCTTGTAAGGAATTAGTTTTGATGTTGTTTTTTTGACTCTGCTGTTTGTAGATTTTAACCTGATTCTGTCAGTCAGCATTAATTACACACGTTAAACTTTATTACTGAGCCGTAAATGATGATGAAAGGAAACAGACAGGGAGAGTAAACAGGTTCACATCCAATAAGGCTCCATGTTTAGGACGGAAACATGACATTAAAGTTTCATTTCTTACTGCTGGGTAGAAATTTAAAACCTCCATAGAAAATCCTCCCTCTATGCTTCAGCTCCTTGGTGGGTAAATTAAACATTAGCCCCAATGGGGATGGTTGCTATGGCTAATGCTAGCATCTCCAGCTTCTTGATATTCGTTTACTTTCCTAAATGTCTTCCAGACGATGCTGAGCTAAAATGCATTCAGACCACATTAAATGCAAAGACAAAAAAACATTAAAACAAACTGGGAACTTGTTCATAAAGCAGCTAATTTCTCTTAAATTCCCCAACTTTGTGCTTCTAGGGAACGTATGCTACAGTTTTTAAAGGAAGAAGCAAGCTAACGGAGAACCTGGTGGCCCTGAAGGAGATTCGTCTTGAGCATGAGGAGGGGGCGCCCTGCACCGCCATCAGAGAAGGTACCGGAAGCTTCGCTCATGCTGGACGCTAATAAAGCCCCGTCAGACCAATCGCAGCGTTTTTCATTGACTCATTGACTCTTCAGCAATCCCTCACACTAAGCATGCTTGTAGCGACAGTGGAGAGGAAAAACTCCCTTTGAACAGGAAGAAACCTCCAGCAGAACCAGGCTCAGTGTGAGCGGCCATCTGCTGAGGCCCACTGGGGTTCAAGGAGACAGAAGCAGACATAGAAAAAGAAGCATAGATACAAAAGGCAACTGTCAACCAGCTCCACAGGCGGCCCCGTCCAGGAAACACACAGCCAGGCAGACGAGCTCCGAGCCAGCTCCCATGTCAGAGGATGAAGAGAGCACATCCAGTTAGTCACAGTCAGAGAAACAGGACTACACTGGAAAACAGGCCAAGCTCCAACATCTAGAAACAAAGGTGTTGATGGCAGCAGCACAGCTGATATTTCTCTCCAGGATGGAGTCACAGCCAAACAGGAACAGACCAGATGAAGCTACTATGAGAAAAAGCAGAGAGAGCAGAAGGTTAGAGATTGAACTAATAGATTCTGCAGAGTGGGAGAATAGAGATAGAATGAAGCAGAATGATGAAAAAGGGGTCCCTATGTCCTCCAGCAGTCTAAGCCTATAGCAGCAGAACTATAGAGATAGATCAGGATAACCTGAGCCACTCTTACTAGAAGCTTTAATTAATTGACTTGATTTACAACAACAACAACATTTTCTGCTTTAATAGCAGTAACCATGTTTTAACCGATTATAGAGTTTGATGTTAATCTAACACCTAATTATCTTGTTTCACACTAAACAACGATCCTCCTGTTGTCACATTGCTTGAATCGAGCTCCTCATCTATGCTTCATCTCTGTAAACCAGTGTCTCTGCTGAAGAACCTCAAACACGCCAACATCGTCACGTTGCACGACATCATCCACACGGACCGCTGCCTCACGCTGGTGTTTGAGTATCTGGTAAGAACGTCGTCGTCACCGGTCGTTAAGACCAATCAGCCGAAAGGAAAAGCAGGGCATCAACGTGCTGTTCTGTTTTGCAGGACAGCGACCTTAAGCACTACTTGGACAACTGTGGAAATCTAATGAGCATGAATAACGTCAAGGTGAGAAGCGTTAACGGATTAAAGGGTGTAGAAATGCTTCAATAGATAAAGGCTTGAATCGATTTTTTGCACCTCTTAATCATGAATGAATCTATTCTTACATCAGGTCAGCTTATAAAGAAGTAAAAGATTTCATCTGACATGGTGATGAGATCTAAAACATCATCTAGTTTGAACCTTTTAGTGTCACCAATTTACCTATAAAATCGATACAACCAGAATTAAACCAAATTTAATACTTTACTTGGAATAAAAGAATGGCCAAAATGTACGTCTGTACCAGGGGCGTATTCAGAAACTGTGGGGCCCTGGGCAAAGACAGGCAGGGGGCCCTCTGAATGGAAAAGACAACACATCAAACAGCCCCATTCTCCAGATAGAGAAATGTTAATAGAATAGACATCCATTCTCTGTTCTAGGTTGTGTCCCTCTCTTCTTGTCCCTTTTCTTCTTGTTTTCCTCTCTATGTTTTGTACTCAGCTGACTTTTCATGCTGTCTCTAAAGGAATGAAAGATTTTTTCCAAGCACTAAGCTCACTTAGCTGATTGCTCCTTCCTGTGTTTCCAAAAAGGCCAAAGTAAATAACCCAGTCCTTCTTTTCACTGTAGACAAGCCATGATCTGCTTCTCTGTTCTCCATTTTTCATTTGGATGAAATAATAGCTGCATGAATCATGACAGCAGACAAGATAGAGGAGAGCAGGAGGCGGGGTTACCAATCTACTCGCTCTGGAGAGCAGAGTTCGCTGCTTTTAGATGTTGTCTCCAAAGTCTCCAGTAGCAGAAAAAAGTCTCTAGATTTGGCGCTAGGAGCTTTTTAGAAATCAAAGTGCTAGAGGGGTCTGAAAAGTGGCTAAATATAGCGACTAAAGCGCTAAGTTGGCAACACTGCTCTTTGCATGGTTTGTTTTCAAATGGTTTGCTGCTGTCTGATTGGACCTTTCTGAACATGTGCAGCAAATGGACTGATCCAATATGGTGGACACTGAAGGGGGGGGCAGAGACACACTTAATATTATCAGCGTTCTGATGGCATTTTAAAAACATAATTAATGTGCACAAATAAGGAATAGTTGTATGAACCATACATGGAAACAGAGTTTTATGGGGCCCCCAGGAACTTTGCCTAATGATAAATTCTGATTTGATGCTTTTAGCTTATGAAAATAGCTAATATATTAAAATTAAACTCAATAAAAATTCAATCTTTTTTCCGAAATACAGGTTCATGAATGGAAGATTTCATTTTTTTATGTACTTAAAACTTCCAGATGAGCTTCTTTGGAACAAATATTTCACCTTATTGAATTTGACTAAACACTGTTTCTTTATAATACTTAAAGTTGAAGTTCATCGTCATTTATTTATACCTAAAACTAATACATTTGTGAGGATTTAATGAATTTAATGTTAATCAGAAAAAGATAAAAATGAGCGGCCATTTTTGCCCAAATATAGTAGCCCCTCCCTCCTGCCATCTTCCAGCAGTGACGTCACGGTGCGGTAAGCCTAGCGCCATTCTCCCCGCTTTCCAAGCTAAATCAATGGGAACTACTAGACACATCTGCAATCAACAACAATTATTGAAGATTTCCAGAGGACTTCACCATTGAAATTCACCAGAGCTATAGTGAAACTGACAATGCCCACGTGCATGGCAGCTGGATGCTGGAATACATCGGGTAAAAGTGGAAAAAAAGAGTTATTCCACCTTTCTGATTCCTGATCCTCCACGGACGGGTTGGTCGTTGGATCGCCAACTTGAAGAGGGAGGATTTGCCATCGAACTTCTGGCCAGAGAAAAAACCCGTAATATGTAGCCAACATTTGGAAGAAGAATGTTTTCAAGATGACTTGGATAATAGCGCGTTGTGACAAACACCAGATACAGCACTGGGACTTGATCAACAGCCGATACCGCACCGTGACAATGTCACTAACCAGTAGGTGGCAGTAGTGTTCTTTGACAAACATGGATGCCTCCAGTAAAGCACATTCACATGAAAATGACTCTGAATTAAAAACACTGATCATTTATTGAACAGGATGGAATCATTTCAGATTTAAAGAACTTTTAGAAGTTGGATTCTGAATATGAGCGACTTTTCCTTTATTATCACAATAAATGAAGTGAACTAAGTGAAACTGCCCTGGATTTAGGCAGGATGGTAAAAATAATCTGCCCCTGAAATAATTACATTTACTGTACTATGAATGGATTCTTGTCAGGATTAGAAGTGGGTTTGAGGACCCAAATGCAGAGGCAAGTAGGCAGAGGTGAATTTAGGTGGGTTTAATGAGGTTCACAGGAACTGAGGCAGGAATCAAAAAATCCAACAAAATAACAAACGAACCAGAACCAAGGAGACATCAGGGGAAAACCAAACACTAGGAGCCAGGGAGAGACGAGGTAAGCAGACAGACGGTAGACGAGGATTCAGCAAACAGGAACTGAAGAGGGAGGGCTTTTAAAGGTGACAGAGAGAAAGAGAGGGCTAACGAGGGGATTGGAAACAGGTGAGGGCAGAACAGAAAACAGAGCAAGGGAAAGAGGACACAAGAGGGCAGCAGAGGACAACAAATGGAAAACCAAGACTGTGACAATTTTCTTTCCTATTTCAAATGCAAAAATCATTTACTTACCCTCTAACATCAGGTGCAAAAATACCTAATTTACTTAACTTTTTGGACTGTTACGTAAAAATGTTAGAAATTGTGATAATCAGTTTACAAGCTTTTGTAAACTACAAAATATAGTAGGGATGCATGATATAATCGGCCCACTATCGGTATCGGCCTTAAAACTGAACATCGGACATCGGCCACACCACCTATATTTAACCCGATATTTGATCAGCTTCTGAGTTTCTAAAGTCTAAAAAAAACTTAGTTTTTACAGACTTAAAAACTTCTAAAGACGAGGGAAAAAATATTGATCCATTAAAATATCCCAATATCTTCATATGCTGATATATTGCCATTTAAAAACACCATATCAATCTCTTTTACTAATGAAATATTGCTATATGTCATCGTTATGCTACGAAATCCCCCGAAAATTCACCAAATGTTGCCATATTTTTATATGTTGATATATTGACGCGGTATCGATCTATTTTACTAACAAAATCTCACAAGAATTTGCAAAATATCACGAGAGTTTGTAACAGAACGATGAAATTTCACCAGATTTTGAAAGTAAAATAGATCGATACCGCGTTTTTAAAAATCAATTTGATATCAGCATATGAAAATATATTTGAGTATATTATTTTTCAAAGTGTCAGAAATGGATAACAAAACTGCTATTTTCAATGACTACTTATTTTTGTCCAGCTTTAACATCGGTATCGATATCGGTTATCGGCTACATGAGTTTTAAAATATCGGCATATCGGATATCGGCCAAAATCCCAATATCGTGCATCCCTAAAATATAGACCTAAAAAGGTTTTTCTAAATAATGACTATGGAGAAATGCTTTGATGTAAGTCCAGATATACAGAAAGGCTAATCTGTGAGGATGGTTAGTAACTCTTTAAGTGATTGCTGGCATCTCCCTCCTGTAGATCTTTATGTTCCAGCTGCTGCGTGGTCTTTCCTACTGCCACAAAAGAAAAATCCTCCACAGAGACCTGAAGCCCCAGAATCTTCTCATCAACGATAAAGGCGAACTCAAACTGGCTGATTTCGGTAGGAAACAGACAGAAAAACACTAAACAAATGGTTTCTTTACTGTGAAAGAACCACCCTCCATGTTTTATCGCCACACTGAGGTTTGAGATGCTGATTAGTCTCAGCCTTTCTTCATGTTTCCTAGCAACCATACCCCTCTCTCTGTTGATCTTCTCAGTTTGGATTTAGAAGCAGGTCGATAAGCTCACCAGTGTCTTTTTATTAGCTTGAACTAAACACATGATTGATGAACTGCTGGGAAGAAAAGCAAATCGAGTTCCTGGTTGTGGTGAAGATGGAGGACCTGGACTCTAACGTCTCCATCTCCTCCCTGTTCAGGTCTGGCCAGAGCTAAATCTGTTCCCACCAAGACCTACTCCAACGAGGTGGTGACTCTGTGGTATCGACCCCCCGACGTGCTCCTGGGCTCCACCGAATACTCCACGCATATCGACATGTGGTGAGAAATAAAGCACATCCCACCCTGACCGTCTGCTATTTAAAGGCCGGGGATAGAATTACATTTATTACTGACAGATATCAGAAAATTATCCTTTTTTAAAAATACCTTTATATTTTATTGTGATGTCAATCAAAGGATATCTACGGAAGAGGATTAGGGCCACTGAAAAAAAAAAACAAAGTTAACTGATTTTTAAATTTTATTTCAGTTTAACATGGGAAAAAAGCCCAGCAGTCTGCACCTTGTCCTTCTTCCACCTCCACTCAGCCTCCTGCCACAAGTGTCGTCATTAAACCAGGGCTCAGGTTTAACTTTGGGCTGCACAGTTTCCACTGGAGCAATAGTCCCATCTGGTCTTGCAGAGAGAGAGGGTCGATCAGGTGCTGAGCTGCTCTGTGTTAGCAGAGGCAGGACAAACTCAGAGCTACATTCAACCGTCCATCAGTTAGAGAGTTTCTGCATCAAGGAGACCCCTCCTCCAAAGCACAGTCTGATGCCAATCAAAGACCCTCCATCGTTCTCCTGGGTTGCTGAAATCTTTTGTTCTGTTGTGTTTTGTTTTGGCCAATAGAGTCAGTTGTGCCTGTGTATCGTCTTTAGGATGAGTTCCAGGACAAAAGTCTGATTTCTTCTAATTTAAGCTATTCTGTGGTTGCCATGATGCCGACGACTGAGAATCTACAGGAAAAACCAAACAAACAGCGCATTTTACCGCAGTGGGAGCTTAAAGGAATAGTACACCCAAAACATGATTAGCCTTCATTTTCTACTCCCCCCCATGCTGAACAACACTCTGGAGTACTTTTTTGATATCTCAAATGCATCTGGAGATCTGGGAGGCTTCTTGCTGTCTGCTGACATTCAAATAATGGAGATCTATGGCGCCCGAGACAGAAAGGTCCATAAAAGTCCACAAAAAACGTGTCAATATTCCTCCATACTGCTCGTCCAATGATTCCAAGTGTCCTGAGTGGGTAGCGTCCAGAATTTACTCGAAACGAAGTCATTTAGAATGTTTTTAGAGCATAAACAGTAGTGTATAGGATTTCCTGAAAGCGCGTTCACGAGTCTACGGAAGCCGGCAGACCAAACCAGATGAAAGTGCGCATTCAGCGTCTGCTCTGCCGATAATGCAAGCGTAGAAGAAGAAATGTGCTGTTTACCTGTGCAAAGAAAGAAACAACGAAAGAAAAATGTCTGAGGACTTCAGTGTTGAGGAAGAGCATGAGTTCTTTGCCGAGCTGAATGCGCACTTTCATCTGGTTTGGTCTGCCGCGGTTTCCGTAGACTCGTGAACGCGCTTTTAGGAAATCCTATACACTACTGTTTATGCTCTAAAAACATTCTAAATGACTTCGTTTCGAGTAAATTCTGGATGCTACCCACTCAGGACACTTGGAATACATTGGACGAGCAGTATGGAGGAATATTGACACGTTTTTTGTGGACTTTTATGGACCTTTCTGCCTCGGGCGCCATAGACCTCCATTATTTGAATGTCAGCAGACAGCAAGAAGCCTCCCAGATCTCCAGATGCATTTGAGATATCAAAAAAGTACTCCAGAGTGTTGTTCAGCATGGGGTGAGTAGAAAATGAAGGCTAATCATGTTTTGGGTGTACTATTCCTTTAACACCAATGTGAAAAAAGAGAATGAATGTTTCATTCAAACTGTTTGTCTTTCATCAAGATGGACTGACAGATCATCAGAGCATCGCTCCAGGTGAAAGATGATCAACTAAATCTCAACTGATTCCTCGTAGTAAAACATTGATTTGAGGAATGGAGGTCTGCATGGGTCTGATGATTAGCATTCACACAGTCTTCAAACCTTCTATGAATCACTGTTATCCTTTCAAATTTCCCAGGTTTGGTTGCAGATGACTCACTGTGACAGAACAATGCATAATGCACGGGAGACCATTTTCCACCTCTATTTTTGCACATTTCTTAGCTCACATGTCCCCTCATAGCTCCACGGGCTGTCCTTTCCACATCCCCCAACACAGAACAAAAGACTGGACAGAGTCCACCCACACTTTACTTTCTCATTTTAAAATGAGAATTGCTTGTTTCACCTTTTTTCCCGCCTTGTATTTTCATTGCTTTCATCTCTTTGCCTTCTTCCTAGGGGTGTAGGTTGCATTCTGTTTGAGATGGCAACAGGTCGTCCGATGTTTCCTGGTGCCACAATAAAGGAGGAGCTACATTTGATTTTTAGAGTCATGGGTAAGATTGCTGGAAATGACAGCAGTGAAATAAATACGAGTCCTTCAACGTTACTGTTTACAGCCAAAGTATTTGCTGACGCATTGAAACGAGGTGCAGCAACCCCTTGATTGTCACCTGTGCTATAAGCTTTGAAATGACCTCCACACTTAAAATCCCAAGGTCAATCGTAACTGCTGAGGGGAGCACAGAGCTCTCCATGGTTGGTAGACAGCAGGTACTGATGACCGAACCTTTCATGGCCTTCATTTTTACTCAAGAGCAACGTAAACTTCATGGAATTGCTTTCTATGGTTGAGCTGTTGCAAACTCTTTAATTTGGTTCAATGTACGACATCTAAGTCACAACAAATACTGTCACCAGTAAACTAACAAAAAAACGACCTATTTCAGGCATAAAGACAAATCCAAGTTTACTCCAACTTGTTAAACAATGTTCCAAGTTCAGTTTTTTGGTTCCAAGCAGTGATGGGATTCTCCATCTTATCAAACCTCCAAACTCATTAACAGTGGAGAGTAACAACCCTACAGTGAAGCTGCAACAAAAACGCAGACAGACCAGGTTCAACGGAATTCAAAGCAGCTTCATTTTCTGCCCCTAAAATTATTTTTATTTTGAAAACAGTTTGCAAGAGTGAGGAAACAGGCAGCCAAACAGCAAATGATCAGTGTGGTCAAAAGAATGGAACTGATTGGAAATCAGCCTAAAAGCTTTAGCTCAATTAGGCCAATTAGCCTTCAAAAGACACACAACTGGAGAAGTAGTGGAGCCTAGGGGCAGACATGTTCACAAGTCATTTTTTGCAAGTCCAAGTCAAGTCTCAAGTCTTGAGAGCTCAAGTCCAATGGAATGATCATTATGTTGAACTGGTCAGTGAAAAATACATGCTTATACGTCACGTAGCGTTGCGTCAGTGACGTCGGTGCTACATGACTGTTTGACAGCCCCTCTGCCGTTTTTTTTTTACCTCTGATGTGTGCGGGTAAGGCGAGCGGCGATCAGTCAAGTTAGTCAAACAAAAAACACTTAAAAAATAAAATATTGTTCACAAATCGGAAATCGCGAGTCTAAGTCGAGTCTGAAGTCATTAAATATGCGACTTAAGTGAGACTCGAGTACAAGTCACAAACTGGAGTCCCCACCTCTGCCTAGGGGTCGTCACAACACTCAATAGTACGGTGTCTCCATCATTGTTAACATGCCTGTCGCCACAATGGAAAGTAGAACTTTAACGGAATAACTTGTCTTACTGTGAGACACTTTTAAATGCAATGGAACCAGAATATTTTTTCTATGTTAGGGCGGAGCTTCACTCTATGACATTTCTAATCATTGCAAACAGCTACAGCTCACATTGTAGCTCAGGATGTTTGTTCTTCCCCTGCACGACCCGACGATCTGATGCGATCTACCTGCTGCCACTGCACTTCCGGAAAGCACACCCAGCGCCGAGAGATGCAGCTGGTCAGACTCCTCAATCTGAAAGAAGAAGAAGAAGAACAACAACAACAAGAACAACAAGAACAACAACAACAACAACAACAAGAACAACAACAACAACAACAACAAGAACAACAACTCCCCTGTCATGCTCATGCTCAGTACTCAATGTTCTGGTAAATGGGCTTATAGTTCTGCTTCAACAGCAGGATTTACCCACCAACACCTCAGGAGGACCCACTGGATTTCAAACATGTTTGATTTTCTCCCGACCTTAAGATCAGGAGGTGGTCGTTAGAGGCCGATCGCCCCTCGTTAACCTCTGCACACTACAAGACGCACCATGAGGCTGAAACTCAGCCCGATTCAAAGAATACTCCGACGACTGGAGAATCGGCCCGAAAATCTCGTACAGTTTAGCCCGACTTTAATGAAAAACGCCTTTAATGGCAGCAGGAGCTCATTTAGGGGCTTTATCTTAAAAAGTAACATAGCTCAACACATAAACTTCAAACCAATAGTAAAAACACACTATTCTAAAATAAATACTGTAAAAACGTTAAACATGGTTAAACAAAAGGACTAAAAAAAGATCATAAAGTTACGGTCTGGAAGAGCTTCGCTGATGTCAAAGCTTCACACCACAGAATAAAAGCAGACAGAGTTAATAACCGAAGCCTGGCTCACTATAAACTCTCTGAAAGAGCAAAGTTTTAACCGTATCCTGAACGCAGACAGAGTTCCTGCATTTTGGACAGAAACTGGACAGAATGTATGATCCTCCGGTAAACCTGCAGCGGGAGCCTGATTTATTGGAAAGATTAGGAACAATCACTGAAATAATGCAGCTTGGCTATAAATGATTTCCTATCTGATAATTTTTCTCTTTACTTTGAAATATTTCCTACTGATCTAATCACCAAAACAGATGTTATTAGAAAGCATGATTGATATACAATTAGCGTTCCAGCAGAGAGAAATGGAAAAGCTGGAGGAAGGTGAAGAAAGAAAGGACTCCAGGTTCACTGAAACTAGATATAATTTACGACTAAAAGATGCCAGAGAATCTTTCTTCTCTGAGATTATTAACGAAGACAACAATGCTCGTACCTTATTTACCACAAATGGCCCTTTGGCAGTAATTCAAATAGATCACTTTCTCTCACTTGGTCTCCTGATTATTATTATTATTATGAATGGAATCAGATAATAAATGAGATGATGATTTCTTTGCTTTTAGGGACTCCGACAGAAGAAACTTGGCCTGGAATCAGCGGCAACGAGGAGTTCAGGTCTTACCTCTTCCCCCAGTACAGATCTCAACCTCTCATCAACCACGTGCCCCGGTGAGTTTCTATGAGCTGCTCTGTTATTCTATCATCTATTAATCTGCTAAAACATCCACAAACTCTGAATTAGTGGCTCAAATTTCCATCTATTGCTAACTAGTTAGCTGTAGCATTAAGCGCATGTTGTAACCGGCTTCGTACTCGTATTCGTCGTCTTCCGCTTCATCTGGGCAGCAGGCTCCTCCTCCCCAGACACCTCCTCCAGCTCTGCTGGGGGAAACCAGTGGGGTGGTTTCCTGGGTCTCCTCCCGGTGGAGGTGACTGAAACCGCTCCTGAGGGAGGCGTTCAGGGGACATTGGGAAAAAGATGTCTGAGTCTCCTGATCTGACTCCTCTGGATGTGGAGGAGAAGCGGCTCTCCCTGAGCTCAGCCTCACTCCACAGGAGCTTTCAGATTTCATGATCATTCATGTGATTTTGATGCAGGTAGGAACCAGAAGGATGACCATGGAAAAGCTTTATAACGTTTTTCACAATAATCTGCAAAAAGACAGACTGGTGAGTTGAGGAAAAACCAGGGATTGGAAAAATGTGGTACGTTACCATGAGACGGGCCATCAGATTCCTGAGGAGGGCTTCCCTAAAATGGTGATTGGGTTCCAACTAAACCATCAGAGCGTAATACTCCTTTAAGAAAAACAAACTCCGTTATCCAGTAATCAAATAAGCCAATCAGATGGCAGAATGAAACAGAAACGACGACAACCTGAGGCGAGGGAGAGAACGTAGACCACCCGGTTAAACGAGAGCTCCGCCTTTTTCACTGAGCTCTCTCTTCACCACGAGGTATTCTAGCACCTGACGCACCCATCTGTCACGATTTAACTATGGTGAGTTGACCCAAAAGCAGATTTAATGTAGATTTAATTATGACTTAACAGAAATCAGAGGCTGGTTATCCAAAAATCCAAAAGGAAAAACAAGTCCAAACAAACAAGAAACCAGAAGTCCAAAAATCCAAAAATCAAAAACATGAAAACAAGTCTAACGTACCAGAAACCATGGAGACATCAGGGGAATCACAAACATAACGAGGAAGGCTCAGAGAGAAGGAGTTGGAGCATGCAGATGGTGTTTGACGAGGACCCAGCAAAGGGGAACTGAAGAGAGAGGGCTTTTAAAGGAGACTGAGACAAAGAGGGGGCTAATGAGGAAACTGGGAGCAGGTGTGCACAGAGCAAAAGAGGGAAAGAGCTAGGGAAGAAGGAGAACACAAGAGGGCAGCAGAGAGCAACAAATAGAAACCTGGAAGACTATAAATAACCACAAAATGATAATCAAATAACTAGGACTATAAAACATGGAGAAAAGAAAACACTAGAAATCAAGGAGTAAAGTAAGACTGAATCTCAAACCGCCCCTACTGCTGTAGGTCTTAGCAAAACTAAATGAGCTCAGACTTCGAGAACTTTTGCACAGTACAGCTTCAGACAGTAAATGAAAATGTCCATTCCATAAAGTGCAGCAAATCAAATGTAAACAATGTGGGATAAAAAACAAGGTTCAAAAACACATTGATAAGGAACTTCTTCCTCAAAAACTTCTTTTTTACAGACTAAAAAACTTCTAAAGACGAGGGAAAAAATATTGATACATTAAAATATCCCAATAGCTTCATATGCTGATATATTGCCATTTAAAAACACCATATCAATCTCTTTTATTAATGAAATATTGCTATATGTCATCGTTATGCTACGAAATCCCCCGAAAATTCACCAAATGTTGCCATATTTTTATATGTTGATATATTGACGCGGTATCGATCTATTTTACTAACAAAATCTCACAAGAATTTGCAAAATATCACGAGAGTTTGTAACAGAACGATGAAATTTCACCAGATTTTGAAAGTAAAATAGATCGATACCGCGTTTTTAAAAATCGATTTGATATCAGCATATGAAAATATATTTGAGTTTATTATTTTTCAAAGTGTCAGAAATGGATAACAAAACTGCTATTTTTAATGACTACTTATTTTTGTCCAGCTTTAACATCGGTATCGATATCGGTTATTGGCTACATAAGTTTTAAAATATCGGCATATCGGATATCGGCCAAAATCCCAATATCGTGCATCCCTACTGTGCAGCGTTTCTGTCCAAAGCGATGCTCTGATCAACCAGCATTTCAGGCGACTGCTTGATCAGAAAGCTGATTGGATCAATCAATAAAATAAGCATCTCCCTGAAATGAGTGTCTGGAACTCGGGATGTCTGTAAATGCATCTTCTCATCATCGTCAGGAACACGATCTTCCACTTCTGCCAGGAATCCATCGGGTACCCGGACAAAAACAATCTGGACAGGAGGCTTGAAAATGTTCACAGAGTTGATTTTATTAACCTTTTTTATTTGTTTTATTTGTAACCACATTCAATTATGTTGTGGTTTAGTTGGAAGTGTGAAGATTTCTGAACTTTGAAACAGCTTTGAATTAATTCCAACGTGATTTAAAGATGAAACCGTGATTAAAAATTGATCAAAAGTTGCAACTTCAACATAAATATTAATAAATGAAAAACAGAAGCTGTAACCTGATTGGCTGAAGGAAAGGGCCAGACGACACCATCAGCTGTTGTTATAAGTTACTTTTGCAATAAATGAGGTCTATGCAATATAATAGAGTGCAGGATAGCTCTGCTGGTTACCTGATGGGGAAAAAGGGGTCCCCATGTCCTCCAGCAGTCTAAGCCTATAGCAGCAGAACTACAAAGATAGAATGAAGCAGAATGAGGAAAAAGGGGTCCCCATGTCCTCCAGCAGTCTAAGCCTATAGCAGCAGAATTATAGAGATAGAATGAAGCAGAATGATGAAAAAGGGGTCCCTATGTCCTCCAGCAGTCTAAGCCTATAGCAGCAGAACTATAGAGATAGAATGAAGCAGATGAAACAGATTTAAACATATTCTGTAGTCTGTGGTCCCTGTTAAAATGCTCTGGTAACTGAACTAGTTCTGGTCTTCGGTCTGTTCCTGTTACTCTCCCCGCGTCATAATTGCTTCCTGCTCACTTAGCTAAAGATGACAGCAAATAAAGACCGCTTGATTATTTATTTATTTGGACTGTGGGAGGAAACTTGGATACGAATCCACCCCAGAGAGCATGGAAACTGCTTTAAACCTCAGGCAGGGATTTCAACCCCAGACCTTCTGGCTTCAAAGCAACAGTCCCCCCCCCGTCCCCAAGAAAAACAATAAAAACAAACATTGAGAAGGAATGAGTTAATATTTTGGTGGGTTTAATGCTTTCCTGTGTCTCCTTTAGGTTGGACACAGAGGGAATCGATCTGCTGACAGCTTTGCTTCTGGTAGGACCTGAAGGCTGCAGGTTCAACCAAGCTTGGATGAACTGAAGCTCTATTGACTCTGTTTCTACGCCTGCTTACAGTACGACACCAGAACCAGAATCTCCTCTGAAGCCGCTCAGCACCACCCCTACTTCCAGAGTCTGGGGGAAGACATTCATCATTTGGCTGACAGTAAGATCATATCTATTAAAGTGTTTCTGTTTTTCCCAGCGACACATTTTAATCCCTGCAGGATTTTATGTTCATGCAGTTAGAAGTTTCTCTTCCTCCTTCTTCTCGTTTCCAGACGCTTCAGTGTTTTCCCTCAGAGAGGTGCAGCTCCACAAAGATCCAGGACATCGAAGTTCAGTGTTTCAGCCTCTAAGTGAGACCAAAATCATACTTGACCTTTTTTTAAAGCTACATGTCAGATAATCTGCTGGTATGGAGGGAAATTTGCTCCAATATTGTTTCAGGCTAACAGCACAAAAAAAAAAAAAAAAAAAATCTTCTAAAAGGAAATGTTTAAAAAAAAAAAAGGAATTTGGAAATGAAACTTTAAAAAACTTCTTGATCAAAAAAAAAGTTTAAAGCGTAACTTTGCAGATCTTATATTTTTCAAATTATTTATTTTGTTATTTTTTAAATATTTTTTAAACATAAATCTACGGAAGAGGATTAGGGCCACTGAAAAAAAAAAAAAATAACAGATTTTTTTATTTTATTTCAGTTTAACATGGTAAAGAAGTCAGAATTCTGACTTTTTTCCCCATGTTAAATTGAAATAAAATAAAAAAAATCTGTTAACTTTTTGTTTTTGTTTTTCAGTGGCCCTAATCCTCTTCCGTATAAATCAGATTAATTTTGACAAATTGTATTCTTTAAAGTTAATCTTCACAGACCCCGTTCTCCTCCCTTCACTGACGGCGTTTCCTCTGGATGGAAAAATAAAAATGCGTTTCTGTTTGTTTTTCTGGACTTTAGCAACAACATCTTTATTAGACGAGACATCAAACTATTTGATTTAAACTTTACGTGAAAAGTATAAAGAAAGCACGATGTGGAAATAATGCAGTATGAAAAAAAATCTGAGTAAACAGCAAAATTTCTTCAGATCTTTTTTTTTATGACCAAGTTCTTTCAGTTTTATTTCTTGGTTCTATTTTATTTGAATTTCCATCTACGGTTTTCTTTGCTTGCAAGAATAATGCAACAAAATTCTCCCCATATATCAGGTTCATAGTAACTGCAAGCTTTCATTAGACTTTTAGATGCTTTGTTCTTCTTTTTTAATGCAATTCAACAAAAACCCAATAATGAATAATCTTTGTTTGATACTAAGTTCAATTTTCATGATTTAAATTTTACAGTTAAAAAAATATAATCACCAAATGAGAAGCAAAGTGTTTATTCTTCTGCAAAATCTCAGATCCATAGCCAAGCCAGTTTGTAGAGTAATGGCTAGGTTTTAGGTTTAGGGCAAGTGTCAGGGTTAGGTTTAGGTATGGGTTCCACTAATATTAGGGTCAGTAGCCAATTGATCTGGTAAGTTGATAGTAAGGGCTAAAATTAGGTTTAGGGCAAGTGGGTTAGGGTTAGTAACTAACTAACCCTTATGGCAGGTTCGTTTTCTGTCATTAAATCCTCGCCGCTCTTCAAACAAGCAGGACGTCCCTGGATCAGAGCATCAGTTCAGTTTCAGACCAGGCGATTCATTTAGCAAAGCAAAGAACGTCTGAACTCTCAGACCCACAACATATTGAGAGAAATGACTTAACTTTGAGCAAAAGTAAAAAGCTTTTCCAGGAGTTGCTAAAGTTTCAGCATCAGTGGACCGACTCTCACTGGAAAACCTTGAAAAACTTGTTTGTTTTTGACTCTGATGTCGTCCTCTTCAGGCCGAGGAAAGAACCGACGACAGAGCATCTTCTAGACGCTGCAGAAGAAGAAGAAGAAGAGAAGCTGCCTTTCAAATCCAGAACAACCAAGAACCATCAAGCAACCAGTAAACAGATATCCCCCCCCCCCCCCTCCGTCACTCACTCCAAGGCAGCAGCTGAACCTGAAGGTTCACATTCACTCTCCTTCCAAACACAAACATTCATGTTCAACATGTTTGCACTAAATAAAAACATCATGGCGGCGGCGGCGGCCATTAGCTCAGATCAGTTTCACTCCTTTGATCCTTTAAAAGAAGGAATTCTAACAGTTTTCTCTCTCTGATCACAGACGTTAAATGACTGGTAACCATAGTTCACATCAAAGCTAAAGACAAACTAGAACAAAGCAGATTAGAAGAAGCAGTTTAAACTGTATTTTAGCATAAAGTGACGGTTTGTCTAAAAACTGAAACATACCAGAAGCTTCTCTGGCGGAGGAGAGACGTCCTGAACTGGAGTCGGTTCTGGAAGAGTTAGAGATTTAATCTTTTTGCACTTAAAACATCTCCACTCTCTCTTTTCAAGAGGAATTCCAACAATTGTTTTAATTTAGGGACCAAAACACCAATTTCATCATTTTCCTCATTTCCTCTGCTGTGCAAATGGAGGACAGATCCGTTTGCTGCACAAAGATGATTCCAAGTTTTAGGCGGTTTTGGTCACTTCTCCTCCCATTCTGCCTTCCTTTCTCCTCTGGTCTCCTCGCTTCTTCTTCCAAAGCAACTGCAGCTTGTTTGATCCATTTCAATCTAACATAGAAAAGATAACTATATATTTATATATACACACATTGTGTGCAGAATTATTAGGCAAGTTGTATTTTTGAGGATTAGTTTTATTATTATATCAACCCAAAAGACTCCTTAATATCAAAGTTTCATATTTTTGGAAGTTGATGCATTTTATTTTTAGATTTGGTCATTTTATGAGGATCTCACTTGTTTATTTTCACCAGGTAAACCAATAGAACGACTCAAAATTCAGAAATAAACATTTTCAACATTCAAAAACAAAAATAAAACCAAACCAGTGACCAATATGGCCTCCTTTCTCCACCATAGATTCTGTCAGAGTCTTGATCTGTGTGCGATCCTCATGGCGTGCAGCAGCCTCCACAGCCTCCCTGTTTTCCCTCCCTGTAGATCTCCCCTTTCATGAAGGACCACAGGTTCTCCATGGGGTTCAGATCAGGTGAACAAGGCGGCCGTGTCATTGTTTCCTCCTTTTAGCCTTTTCCTGGCCGCCACGCTGTGGTGTATTCTGATGCGTGTGACGGAGCATCGTCCTGCAGGAATATCAGGTGTTTCTGGAATGATGGCGACTTCTTCTTGTTCCGCTGTTTGAAGAAGGTGTCTTCCAGAAACTGGCAGTAGGTCTGGGAGTTGATCTGGACTCCATCATCGACCTGAAAAGGTCCCACAGGCTCATCTTTGATGATAGCAGCCCATAGCATTACCCCACCTCCACCTTGCTGGCGTCTGAGTGGATAAGGAACTCGCTGCCCTTTCCTGATCCAGCCTGGTGCCCATTCATCCATCTGGACCATCTAGACTCTCTCTCATTCCATCAGACCCAAACACCTTGGAGGAATCAGTCTGCAGAGATTTCTTGTTCCAATCTTGACGTTTTGTCTCGTGCGTCTTGTTCAAAGGTGGCCTTTTTTCAGCTTTCCTTACCTTGGCCAGGTCCCTGAGGATTGAGCACCTCGTGCTTCTTGGCGCTCCAGACATGTTGCAGCTCTGAAATATGGAACAACTGGTGGCTAATGGCCTCCTGGCAGCTTCACGCTTCATCCCTCTCAATTCATGGGGAGGTATTTAGCGTCTTTTTTCAACACGCTTCTTGCCCCCCTGTTGGCTGTTTGCTGGTGATGTTATGAGATGAGCCGAGGCTTCGAGGCGTGTGTCCAGGATTGGAGGTGGCGGTTCCCCGAAGTGCGCGTCGAGGCACTACCGTGAAACCACGTGACCGCTTCGTGACGTGGTTCAGGAAGCGCAAGAATTTTGACAGGCATCTAAACAGCCTCAGAGTTCAGTCAAGATGTGGGAGTTTGGAGGAGAGCTGCTGTCGGCTGGATAGAGTTTGGATAGATTCTAAGAATAGATTGGTTGTTTTTCCAACCAATCTATGTGCTTAAAGCTAATTTGTTTAGAATAAACAATGTAATGATCAAAATCTGAAGAAACCACCGGAAAAAGTCAGTGTTAACGCGTCAGTATTAGTTACTTCTTTCCTCCCCATTATGGTTGTCTATATAGGTGGCGTCAGTTTTAAGCAACAGGCTCTCGCTCTAGAGGTTGATGGTTCAGGACCGGTCTTTGACTTTTGAAAGTTGCAATTAAACTTTATCAATATATAGATTGGTTAAACACAACTTCAACCTGATTAAAACCAAAAAACGTGGAAAAACTATTATGGAAGCTCATTGGTAGAATTCCCTTATGACAGAAAGAAGGCCACGATTCACACCATCTATCATCCAGAGGGGGGGACATTTATTTACAAAACCAAATTCATACAGCTGTCTTAAAAACTTCAACTGTAGCTGAGTTGTTTTTAAAGAGAGAAGAAAGAAAGGCAGAAAAAAACTGAGGAAAAGAAGATAGAAACCATCAGCTTGTTTAGATTTAGCATCTTTAACTGAAGGAATCTGTCAGGTTGTAAATATGAGAGCATCTCTGACACCAAACTGGTAGCATTTACATTTGACCTCTGATCACCTTCCATTTGACCTCTGCTCACCTTCCATTTGACCTCTGCTCACCTTACATTTGACCTCTGCTCACCTTACATTTGACCTCTACTCACCTTCCATTTGACCTCTGCTCACCTTCCATTTGACCTCTACTCACCTTCCATTTGACCTCTGCTCACCTTCCATTTGACCTCTGCTCACCTTACATTTGACCTCTGCTCACCTTACATTTGACCTCTGCTCACCTTCCATTTGACCTCTGCTCACCTTCCATTTGACCTCTGCTCACCTTCCATTTGACCTCTGCTCACCTTACATTTGACCTCTGCTCACCTTCCATTTGACCTCTGCTCACCTTCCATTTGACCTCTGCTCACCTTCCATTTGACCTCTGCTCACCTTCCATTTGACCTCTGCTCACCTTCCATTTGACCTCTGCTCACCTTACATTTGACCTCTGCTCACCTTCCATTTGACCTCTGCTCACCTTCCATTTGACCTCTGCTCACCTTCCATTTGACCTCTGCTCACCTTCCATTTGACCTCTACTCACCTTCCATTTGACCTCTGCTCACCTTCCATTTGACCTCTGCTCACCTTCCATTTGACCTCTGCTCACCTTCCATTTGACCTCTGCTCACCTTCCATTTGAAGCTGCCTTAGTGAGCCGTGCATGACGTGTTGCCTTGTGACGAGTCTATAATTGATCTAGTGTTGCCGGTGTTTTGGGAAACCTTTGCTTTGTTGTCTGTAAATACGAAATCTTTAGTGTCCTATTTGCACAAACCAAAAGTGTCCTCTAAAGCTCCCTTCCTCTCTGATCATCTTTCCTCACACTGACCTAAAGTCTGAACTTCTAACTTCCTGATGCAGAGAAAAAATGCAGAGAACTTCATTTAAAAACACCTAAAGCTGCTGTTTATTGGTATTTATTAGTTAGTAGAAAAAGGAAAATCACTTTTCTGGAGGAAAAACCAGCGAATATTTAACGGCTCCTTTCTCTCTACCTCAAAATGTTAACTTTGAAACTTTTGCATTAAAGGTATAGTGGAGGATTTTGGTAAATATTTGAAAGACCCGCCCTCTCTGCTTTAAAAAAAAGTCCATGAACGACCCTGTACCCGCTTAAACGTAGCGTAGGAGAGCATGTTTCTCCTGGAGGAGGTGCAGGGAACCAATCAGAGGACGGATCATCTCACCAATATTTATAAATAAAAAGTTTCCCCTCAAATAAGACCAAAAAATCCTGACCTGCTGGTATCTGTGTGCTGCAGTGGATGTTTGGACGTGTTTTCAGCTAAATAAGGATCTGCAGCCACCGTATAACTGACTGCTAATGAAGCAAATGACTAAATAAATCAACTGATCTTCTCTGGAAAATTACAATATAAAGGTAAATAACTTTGACCAGCAGTGATGCGAAATAGATCCAGTAGAAACATCAGAGTGGGAAGACCGACCTGTGCTTTCAGTCAACGCCACGGCGTGAAAGAATCTCCCAGAAACACTCTGGTCTGGTTTCTCTCTTCTGAGGCCGTTCTTTTCTTCGTAAACGCTTTTACTCTTCCGACCTTCGGCCATTTTGACCATCTGAAAGCGTAGCTCGCCAAAGATATACGCCTGACAGGACGAGGCGAAGGACGGCCTTACGGAAACATGTCACCAGAATGATTGACAGCTAGGAGGACCACTGACTGAGACGATCCACCCGGAAATAAAACATCCTCCTCTATACCTTTAAATGTGCAAAACATGTTTATGTTAAATAAAGACAGGATTTCCTATTTTATGTGATGAAAAAACCAACTTCCTGTGGAGACATTTAGAAATAAAACTAAGAGGAAAAGAACTTTAACCTTTTAACTGGAATATGATCATTAGGCCTAACGGTGGATAGTGTTTTTATTAATGTTATTAATGGTTATTTTAAGGATTATTGGTCGTTATTAACTGACAAGGAAATGTCTTTACGATGGCCTGTTGTTCTAAAAAAGAAAATCCTTCCAGAATAAAAGCAGAACATCATCAGCATCCATCTGTCCTTAAACACAAAACTACCTTAAAAAACGATCTAAACTGAATCAATAAAAATAAAGGAGGATGTTATTAAAGGCATTTAGTTATTTAAAATATAACATTTTAAATCTTAAACTTCTACCAGCCAGAATCCAGCTTCACCTGAAACATTTTTATTTTTCCTTCTATTTTATTTTAGTCAAACTCCATCAGAGTTTAATGGTTAGAAACGCTTTAAAATATTCCAACCAAAGGGAATTTATTTTATATTTTTGTTCATGGTTTTAATAGTCATTGCTATGGAAGAGGATTAGGGCCACTGAAAAAAAAATGTTAACTGATTTTTTTTTTTTTTTTTTTTCAGTATAGTATGAGAAAAAAGTCAGAATTCTGATTTTTTCTCAGAATTCTGAGATTAAAGTCAGAATTTTTTCCCATGTTAAACTGAAATAAAATTTAAAAATCAGTTAACTTTTTTTTTTTTTGTTTTTCAGTGGCCCTAATCCTCT